TTGAATTAGAAAGACGAACCTTAAAGCCAATTACGTACCAAAGTTTTTCAATAATTATTGGTAAACATTTCTTTCGTAGGCTTTTGAGGATGTGCACTTAGACAGCAGACCGATATTAAAGGAAGTGTTGAGGGTCTTAAATATCTTCTTTGCTGTTGTGTTTGTGCTTGAATTTATCCTCAAACTCATCGGTCTCGGCTTCACCACATATTTCTCAAGCGCCTGGAACTGGCTTGACGTCGCGATTATTGTGGTAAGTAAATTTACCTTATAATGAACATTTCCATGTGTAAAAACTGCGCTCAAAGGAAAATTCTAGGTCGGATCTGTATCAGATCTTGTCATTTTTAATCTCTTGTTTCCGAGGTTAGAAGATCTAAATTTCATTCATTAGTTTCTTTCCAGCCCATCTCGTTCACTATTGCTCCGCTCTGTTTATCGAGAAAAGCTTTTCCGTTTAACATGGCTAGTCTATGACACATTGAAATAAAATTTATATATGTTTTGTCATCGAAAGAGTTATCCAGCTCCCCCGGGCTATTTTGCTTAAGAAAGTTATACAGTATAGACTTCATCTCAGCTTTTGAGGATCACCAAGTGGGTATCTATTTTGACTGATTTGCAGCACAGCAAAAAACAATCTCCTGCCCTCTCACGTCATTCTCATTCCTTCCTCATTTATGTGATTAAATTTCCTTAATTTAACTTATCCGCTTAACTTTTCTTAAAGGTTTCTCTTATCGCTCTGTTTGGTAACGAGGAGGTCATGTCTATTCGGTCCTTGAGGACGTTAAGAGCTTTGCGACCACTAAGGGCGATCTCTAGATTTGAAAGAATGAGGGTGAGTTATCTTATGTTTTTATTCAGATAAGTTTTACAATAACACGTTGGCCTTTTTATCTTAGTTCGAGCCTAGAAAAAGAGGTTCATTTTCAGAAGAGATCGCTCATTATTTCCCTTTTCCGGGGAAATTTTTTTTCGAATGTTCTCGTTGATCAACAGATCTGGAATGTGTGAGCTAACCTTCCTGATGATCTCACTTGACCTTCTTGCTAATACTCTAATCCATGCGACAGTACAATGTCTTCAGTTCAAGAAAAAGACTAATGTATGATCTAAATTTGCTGCGCGTGTCGCAAAAATTAGAGGGAAACAGTTATCACCATTTTGTTCATGTAACCAGCACGTATATATTTCGCTTCTCAGGTGGTTATCAGCTCTCTGTTTCACGCCATACCTGGGATTGCCAACGTTCTGCTGGTGTGCTTGGTATTCTGGCTGATATTCAGCATCATGGGGGTCAATCTTTTTGGCGGGAAATTCTACAAGTGTGTTGACGCGCGCGGCGTCAAATATGACGCTTCTGTTGTGCCAAATAAGACCGTATGCCTTCAGAGGGGAGACCGCTGGATTAACTCTAATGTCAACTTTGATAATTCTGGAAACGGATTCTTAGTCCTTCTTCAAGTAGTAAGCTGAATATTTTTTGTAAAATCGTTGAACAAAAGGATTTATTTGGTTGTGTTTCTATTCGTTTTTCGGATTATTTCATTAATTGTGTGATGGTCTCTTGTGACGCGTGAATTTAGGTCGCTAAGACAGTTAGCCACGTCAGTTATAATTCGTTTAATTGTTCGTATCATATTCTCAGGCTACTTTTGAAGGATGGATGGAGGTAATGGAGGACGCTATTGATGCCACTAAAGTAAGAAACATCGACTCTGTCTTGCCTCTGCTGGTTTACATCGACAGAATTAAACAGCACACCACGTGATTTCCTTTAAGTTATGACCGCATTCATTCAGTTTAAGAACAGCGTAATCAGACTGAAACAAGGCCGTAATCATACGTGCTTGCAAACCTTGTAAATTAACCGCTCCACCTACCGATATATTATCTCCTTGTTTTACAAGTTTTATTTTTCCATTGAAATGATACACTCACCCTTTTAACATGGCATGTACATGTTTTTCTTCACTTTAAGTGTCAATGCAGAAAACCGATAAGTGAGAATTGAAAAAATCATTAGATAGGGAGTGTCATTTTGACAA